GCATTGTCACTTGCTACACCTGGTCAGTTGTTCTGTCTTTGCAAGACCTGGCAGCATGTCGGAGCTTCGTTTTGAGAGGGTATAGTTCTCTGCTGCAGAGGGCATGCCCTTGCTCCAGAACCTAGGGGTCTGCATTTCGATTCTCCTGTTGGAATCTGCCATGAATGCCACACAATAGCTCTTCTCACCACAGATGCCCCTGGGCTGTAAGACATGCCAGTCTAGATGGTCAGTGCTTATAACACAGCCTGGACCTGCTGCTGAGCCCTTACCTGCCTGGGCCCCTCAAAGCTGGCAGCATTAATGTCCCTGGAACTTGGTCCCAGCACTATAGCACTATTCTGAAGTATGCTGCCTCCATAGCCCCTGTGCCTGACCAAACCCTTCAGAGTGGTGAGATGTGCAAGATGCAATTATGTGCTCTTTACTCTGGAGGGGACACTGGCACACCTCAGACAACTTGGCCTTAATTTTTCACGGATATGGTGCACCCTTGTCTTTACATGATTTTCCCCCTCTGGGGTGCATGAATCTTACCCAGGCCTCCAATGTGCTTCTTGCTTATCTGGTCCAGTTAGCCTAGTGTCATTGCTCTATGGACCACTGTGATGTTCTGCTGGGTATCCAGATGAAATAGACAGTGGGCTGGAGATTTCCCATGGCCCTAGGGCAGTCCTGAGATGCACACTGCTGTCCACACCTGCAGACCCTCCTTACTGATGAGAATGAAAAGAATCCTCATTTGCCAGGTGAGTGGTTGCTCTTGTCAGATGGGAGCTGCACCTATGTTATCCAGCAAAGGTGCCACAGCTGGAAAATTTTCTACAACTTGGGCCATGTGTTTAAATGTGTGCAGGACACTAGAGGTCCAGTGCACAAAATATGTGCATGGGGGGGGGTCCTCTCAGCCCAGCCTGCACCCTCTCCAACTGGGACCCCTTGGGGGATGTCTGACTGCTGGTTTAGGCCGGATCCTGAGGATTGGGCCTAAACCGGCAGTTGCACATCCCTCTCACAATCCTGGACCGCTGACTCCTAATCACTCACCTGCCTGCCTACCTGGTCGCCCCTAACTGTCCCCACCAGCCAGCCTGATAGCCCCTCACTGCCTCTGCGTGCTGGCCTGATCACCCCTAACTGCCCCCCGCTGCCAGCCTGGTTGCCCTTAACTGCCCCAGGTTACCCCCAATAGCCCCCTCCCTGCTGGCCTGGTCACTTCCAACTACCCCCCTCTGCCGGCCTGGTCGCCCTTAACTGCCCCCCGTGCCGGCCTAGTCGCCCCACGCAGCCTGCTGTTCAGTCGTTTGGTTGTCCCTCACTAACCCCCCTGCTGGCCTGGTCACCCCACACAGCCTGCTTGTTCATCCATGCCGGCCTGGTCATAGGCAGCCATCTTGTGAGAGCATGTGGGTTAATTTGCATATTACCTCTTTATTATATAGGATTGACAATCTGGCTTTTATAGGGTTCAGACTAGTGTGTTAAATGGGGGTAAGACAAGGCCACCCCTGCATTCGCAGTCTTTGAGTGTTGACACGATTCTCTGCCATTTCTCAAAGGTGGTATTGTCTCTGAGTTACTGTCTTGTGGGGCATTGGGCTTAAAATTTAGACTTCCACTTGGCCTGCCCCACTAGGAACCAATGTAAGGGCTCAGACCTCCCAAGTGTGTTGACCCAATTACACATTCAGTGCCAGGGAGATGACCACCAGCCCCCGCAGGTCCTCACTTTCACAGGGGACAGGTGGTGCTTGGGACCCTGTTCCCAGTGACCCTCAGACTGTCGCTCCCTTTCTTCAATGACGACACTCGGTGAAGGCCTTTGGAAAGGCCTGCAGGGCCTTCCTGTCAGTGGCTTCTGGATCTGAAAACTGGCTCAGCTTTGAAAATTGGGCAGAGGAGGAAGGTGGTTGCTCTCAGCACCCTGGTCTCATGGATTAGCAACACCTGGTGGGCACCCTGTTCTGTTAACCTCCACAGCTCTCTGCAGCTGAGTCCCACCTGCCATTCCGCCCTGCACCCATTGCATCATCACTCCACCTGGCTCCTGACAGTCCGCTGCCCACCTGCCCTCTCTTATTTTGGCTTCAACAGTCTCTATGGCTATCAGGCGAGACTATTTTTGGGCACCAGCTCCTGCAGCCAGCTGGCCCATGGAGAACAGCTGTCACCGAGCTTCTCCTGGTTCTGGTGCCCCTTACCTGTGCCTTCTTTGTCACCGCACGCGGAGTGTCCTCGGCTCCATCTGCCCTCCCTCGCTGTCTGTTTTGCTTTTCTGCACCCTCCACACATCAGGTCCGACACTTCTGCATTTGGGCCAGCTTCTCTCTCTCCCCTCTTCCCAGCACTGTCCTGGCTGGAGGAACACTGACTGCCTGCTGGAGTCCTTGCCAGGGTCTCACAGAACTGCGTCTACATTGATCAACTCTGTCGTCCCACTTCCCTCCAGCCTGCAGCCGCAGGGTCCGATCCTGCCTGGCCCCCAGCCTTCCCAGTACCTGTCAGCCAAACTCCACAGCTCCTTTCTGGGCCCGCCTCCCTCGGCAGCCAGGTGCCCCCACAGGGATGGGCTGGGGTCTGTCTTTATTACTGTCTGAGTCAGGAGAGGAAGGTGTGGAAATCTGAGGGGAGGCACCATCTTAGGGGACCTGCCTGGTCCTCTGGGAGGTGGAAGGTCTTGCTGCTTCCATCCAGGTCTCTTCTCCTGCACAGGGCACACCTGCTGAGCACCTGACCCCACTCCCATTCAGGAATGGTCTTCCATGCACGTCTCCCCCACCCAAGTCTGCAAACTGTGAGGAACTAACTGGATAAATGTTCATTGAGCACCTACGGTGTATCAGGAGCTGTTCTTGACCCCACTCCCATTCAGGAATGGTCTTCCATGCACATCTCGCCCACCCAAGTCTGCATAACTGTGAGGAACCAACTCGATAAATGTTCATTGAGCACCTACAGTGTATCAGGTGCTGTTCTAGGCAGTGGGGACACCACATCAGCAAAATGGACACAAATCCCCACTATGGGAGACAGAAAATAAATAAAACAAGCAAGTGGGATCTACCGGTATACTCAGCCAGTGGGTGATAGACTCATGGGGGAAATTGCAGCCAAGAAGAGGGTGGGGGCAGGGGTGAAGGAGGAGCAGGGGGCTTGGCTGGGATGATTCCCCAAGGAGTGGACGTGAAGGTGTGGGAGGAAGTGGACCAGGCAGAAGGCACAAAGGACCTGGGCAGTAGGTAGTTTGGTGTTCACACCAGCGGCCAGAATGGCTGGTGTTGGGGGCGGGGGGACTGTAGGGGAGTCAGAGGTCATGTTGGGCCACAGGGCCTTGCAAGGGTGAGGCTGTCACCAGGGTGGAGCCATAGACTGGTCAAACTGGGACGAGGAAAGAGAGGCAGGCATGGGGAGAATCCCACCAGAGCTGATGTGGCCTGGACCCTGTGGTGCCAGAGAGGGGAGACGCTGATTCTGGGTTGGTTACGGTAGCGCTGACAGATGGGAGTGGGACCTGAGTGGTTAGAGCAACATGGAGGTGGTGGGAGGGGGGATGCCCAGCTGAGATGGGCTGGGAGGGGGTAGGATCAGGAGCTCACCTGCCTGTTCAGTTGGAGACGCCTGTCACCTGTCGTGAGATGGCCCCGCAGCAAGCTCAGAGCTGCTCTGGTCCTGGGCGTAAGGGTGGGAGTTGCCGGGGGAAGGTGGAATCTAAGCCACAGAGGAAGTAGGTGCAAATGTGAGGGAAGAGACCCAGGGACCGGGTCCTGGACTTCCCAAAGATTTGGGGTCAGCAGAGAGGCTGTGGGGAGAGCCTGGTGTCCTGACGGCCAGGTGGCAAAGGTGTTGTCAGAGAAAAAAGAAGAAGAAAGGCCAGGGAATGTGGACAGGGGCTCAGGAGGAGGGGGCAGCAGGGCCTGGCAGCGCACCCTCTCTAGCCGGCTGGCCTCTCAGCCATTGGCCCCAGCTGAACTCCCGCGGGGCGGGCTCCCCACCTGCAGAGCCCGAACCTACCCCACAGCTCTGACGCCTTGGCTCTAAAAATAGATGCCACCTGGGAGAGTAGACAGATGGGAAGCCGTGTCCCTGGCTCACAGCTGGCCGGCCTGCCAGCTCGCTTCACTGGCTTTGGGCTGGGCAAGCCGGGGCTGACTCTCATGTGGCCTGGTGCATCCCAGCATGTTCCTGGCAGAGGAGGAGGCTGACAACATGGCGTGCCAACCCCAGGGGTAGCCCCAGCCTCACCCCTGCTGTCCATATCCCAAGATGGAGCATGAACCTTGATGCCAGGCTACCCGGCCTCACGGCAGCCTTTCTGCTCACTGCACACCTTTGGGCAGGTCCTGTGATCTGTCTATGCTTCTAGATCCTCCAGGTAGCGCCCACCCTGTGGGGCTGTGTGAGAATCTGGGAGTTAAAATGTGCCATGTGCCCAGCGAAGGCTGGGGCGTGTAGAGCTCAGTGAGGCCAACCCAGTGGCACCTTCTCTCAGCTCTAGGGACCTGCCCTCTACTGGACTGCCTACGTCCCCCTCACGGCCTCCCAGCCCCAGCTCAGAGTCCTGGGAGGCCTTTGATGGCATCTCTAATGACTGCTCCCTGGCCTTCCCCAGACAGGACTGCAGCTCATTCCTGCCCGTGACTCCAAGGACCCCTGCCATCTCTGGGGAAGGGGACTCATCCTGTCTTGTTAATGTCAGGCGTGGCCACATGGCATTTTGGCCCGTGGGATGTGGAGGGACTGATGTTTGCCACATCTGAGCAGCAGCTCCGGGGGTTTCCAAGGGTTTCCACCACCAGCTCACTGTTTTTCCTTTATGTGAGAAGTGAATGTCACCGTGAGGCTGGTTCTGTGACCCGGAAAGAGAAGAGCCACAGCCAACCTGCTGCTGCCTACACATAAGGTGAGGGAGAAGTGTGTGGTTGGAAGCCACAAAGCTCAGGGGGCTGTTTGTTACCAGGGCAAAACTAACGCATACACCAAGCAGTATGTTGCCTCGTTGCACTAACACTTGTTAAAATCAACTTTATTTCAGTGCAATTTATATACAGTCAAAAGCACACATTTCTCTAGTCAAGATAAAGGACATCTCCGTCACTTCAAACCTTCTTAAAATCAGCCCCCATTCAATCACCGGTCTGATTTCTATCATTATGAGATCACGTTAATCATTTTTGGAGCTTTTCGTGAACAGAATCATCTGGTGTACACTGGGAGCATCGGCGTTTTTAGAGAGGCGTCGGCACTGTGTCACCAGTTCATTCTCTGTTGCTGAGCAGTGTCTCAGCGTTTGAACACAGAGGCTGTTGACACACTGTAAGTTGTTTCCAGTTTTTACTGTTATGAATGAGCAGGGCTGCTATGAATACTTGTACCTGTGCATTTTATTTTCTTTCAGATATACTCCTGTGAATAACGTTGCTGGTTATATCACAGGTTTCTTTACTTTTGTAAGAAATTTCCAAACTTTTCTCAAGTGGTTGTCCTAATTTTACATTCCCACCAGCACACAGGAGAGTTCAAGTAGCTCCACATCCTCACCAATGTCTGATATAGTTAATTTTTTAAAAAATTTAATTTTGGTCTTTCTAGTAAGTGTGCAGTAATAGCCCATTAGTGTTTTAATTGGCAATTCCCTGATGAGTAGTGTATGAACTTATAGGTCATTTGTATGTTTTCCTTTACGGAAGTGTCTTGGTGTTCGGGCCACTTTTTCCTGGGTTGTTTGTATTTTTATTATTGAGCTGTAAGAGTTCTTTATAAATTGTCAGTGCAGGTTCTGCTGTATGTGTCCTATGCTTATTTCCCCCTTGGCTTGCTTTTCTGTTTTCTTAATGGTGTCTTTGACGAGTAAAGTAAAGCAGGTGGCTTTACCTTTGATGGATGCGATGTCCTGTTTTTCTCCCACAGTGAGTGCTTTTCGTGTCCTAACTAAGGAATCGTGGCTGGTAGGTTTTTCTCCTGTTTCCTTCCAGAGGCCGAGTGCTGTTCGCGCTGACAAATCGGCCTCTGCCCCGTTTGCATGAGCCTCCTTCCGATGGTGCCAGGCTCAGGCGGGGGCTGCATTCCCACATGGACACCAGTCATTGCAGCTCAGCGTGTTGTTAAGGAGACCTCCTTTCCTACGAGCTGTCTGCGCCTCTGTGAGTGACAGTGTGGGCATTGCTCCCCTCTCTCTTCCCCGCCCCCCGCCCCAGCCCAGCCCTGGGCCTTCCTCATCATGTCCCAGTGGCCACGCCCCATGTGAAGAAGGGTGTTCAGCAGCCTGGGCCTGGGCTCTCTTGCCCACTGGATGAGTGTCCTGGGGTTGCTGTAACAAAGGACCATAAACTGGGCAGCTTAAGACAACAGAAATGTCTTCTCTCACAGCTCTGGAGCCAGAAGGCATTTGGGTGAACCAGGTGAGTGGTCATGGGAGCCTGGTTTGGACTCAGGCCCCAGAGATGGAGCTTCTGGGTTGACCCAGGAGGTATTTGCAGGTGGAATCACTGGGGCCCGATCACTGCAGGCAGAGACTGCGACAGGAGGCTGGATCGGGGGAGGACTGGGCCGGAAGGCTGGGGTTGTTTCCCTAGCAGGCCAGGGAGAAAGGAGTTGGAAAGGTCTGGAAGTATGGTCTGGTTCTGCGAGTGAGGGGCAGAGAGGGGAGAGTCTAAGGGTGTTAGTTAGCCAGGGAGGCCCCTTGGGTCAAACAGGTTGAGGAGGGAAGGAAAGGGCCATCCATGGGGTTGGGGTGAAGGGCACGTGGGAGGGGGGGAGGGGAGGGCTAGGTGGGAAGGGGTGTAGTGGGAAGGCTCCAGGGAAGATCAGGCAGGTTTAAGTTTAGCTAGAAGAGCAAAAAGCCCCAAATCGCAGCAGATTGGCCAGGGATGGAGTCTGTACCCCGGCTGGGAGAGAGGGAGAAGCCCCCCAGGTTTCTGCTCCCCATCTGGTGAGGGGTGCTCATGGGGGAGGGGGAGGAAGGAGGCTGAGGCAGGTGGGTGAAGCTGTGAGTTGCCCTCCCTGGCCTCTGGGTGGAGCTGTGATTGAGGCCCCTTGCAGTTTGGACAGAGCTCATTAAAGTCCTGGCTCCCACTAATGATGTGACAAGGGAGTGCAAGCACTTTTTATTAGTTAATGAGGGCTTTTCATTTGGTGGCCTAACCGCCTCTAACCGTAGGGGAGCCCTGGCCTTTCCCCGGAGGCCGAGGCTGGCCCTGTGGCTCTGCCTGTCCTGACAGGTGGGCATCTTCCATCTTGGCCTTGGTGTTTCTGGCTGCACAATCGGGTGATGACAGTGTCTCATCTGTGCTGGTTGCAAGGAAACACCAAGGAAACACCAATGGGGTGGCCGTGCAGTCCTGGAGGCTGTCGTGGCCCCTCGACACTCTTGCTGGGCTATGAGAGGCCTGTTCCGGCTGTGTTGTCACGGCCCTGTGTGACCGGGACATCCTTTAGCTTCCTCAAGCCTTTTCCAGCTCCCCTCCCTCCCCCGGCCTCCCTCCCCCGCAGCTCTGAGCCTGTGTTTCTGGGCTGCTGTACCTGTCCTTCCACCACCCAGTGCCCGCTGGGTGTGGGACCCACATGTGAAGGAAAGAGGAATCTGGTTGGGACAGCTCCCCCAGACCTCCAACTTCGGCCTCTCTGGGACCCCAGTGAGTGAACCCAGGAATACTCATCCTTTTCAACCTGCCTGCTCTCTCCTTCACCTGTCTGCCATCCTAGATGGAAAACTCCCCAAACGGCCCCCTTCCCCCCAGGGACACCTGGGCCTAGGCTCAAACATTTCCCGCCCCTATCCTCCGGGAGGGGAGTTCGGGGTGGGGGGGGGGGGGGGGTCCTTCCCCTCTAGCCCAGGTGTTTTTCTCTCTCTCTTTTTCAAATATATATATCCTTGACCGGCTGCCTCTGCATACCCCCTACTGGGGATCAAGCCCGCAACCCAGGCATGTGCCCTGAGCAGGAAATGAACCGTGACCTCCTGGTTCATGGATCGACGCTCAGCCACTGAGGCCACCAGCCAGGCCCAGGTGCTTCTCTCTTGCTCTGAGTATCCCATTCCTCCCCCCAGATGCAATCACCTGAGGCCCCAAGAGAGTGGCCCTCATACACTCCCCCCCTGCCTGGTCCAGGAGTGCATGGGGGCGGGTCCTGGTGATGGGCAGGCCTGGAAGAGGGGGGTAACCCCACCCTGTGTGGTCTCCTCAGGCGACTGGTGGGAACAATGGCTCAGCCAAGTACCTCTGGGGCTCCTGGTGATGAGGCGATGCATCATTTCCAGCCTTGACCTTTCTCTATTCAGTGACAGAAACCACATCGATCCCACCAGCGCCTAGCCTTTCTGTTCTTCAGCATGAAATCTGGAAAATAACACGTCCCAAATGGCAGACTGGCAGACGGCCGCCCTCCCCACGGGCTCTCTGCTTTCTGCTTTTCAGAGAAACGGTAGCCATTTCCATCCCAAGCCCTTCCTGGGGCAGCGTCTAGTTGTCACACTGTTTATGAAGAAGATGCAAGGAGTCTCCACATCCGCCGATTCGGTTCCACCCCCACAAACGTGGAGACGCTAAGTGGCTGGGCAGGGCCACTGCATGAGGGCAGGCTGGACTTGCTGCCGGAGCAAACTACCTTTTGTGCCTGGGTTCCCGTCACCAGCGCTCTCATGTGCTCAGGACTGATCCCTACCCTTGGCTTCATTTGCTCGTTCAGCGACTGTCACCCAGCACCTTTTCGGCAGCAGCTCTAGACTCGTCGCTGCGGCTTTGGAGTGGGTCAGGATGCCATCCATCCCTCCAGGGGCTCTCCGCCAGGTGAGGACGGTGGGGTGCCCTGGCACTGCTGTGACCACAGACAGGACGCTTAAAACAACGGAATCTACCCCCTCCCAGCACTGGGGGCAGTCTGAAATCCAGGCGCACGCGCTGCACTCCCTCCAGAGGCTCTTCCAGCTCCCGGTAGCCCCATAGTGTTCCTTGGCTTGTGGCTGCATCCTTCCAGCCTCTGCCCTTGTCCTCCCACGCCTCCCACTGTGTGTCTAAATCTCTCTTTTCTCTGATAAAGACCGGAGCCATTGGATTTGGGGCCATCCTAATCCAGGATGATCTCATCTCGAGATCCTTGACTTCATCAAATCTCCAAAGACCCTTTCTCCAAACAGGGGTATGGACATATCTTTTGGGGAAACTATTCAATCCAGTGCAGGGGCGTTGATGACACTCAACCAGGCACAGAGAGGCTGGGCCCTCACAGTGAGCTGCTGCACACGCTGTCTCCCTTCACTGAGTAACAGGGATATGACCATCCAGCCTCACACATGAGGGAGGAGACACAGGCAAGGGGAGCGGACGTTGGCGGAGCCCCCCTCGGCACCAGCCCTGTGCCGGATGGAGACCGTCTCCGAAGGCCCGGCCTCGCTGCAATTCCTTTCTCTGTCACGAGTTGCCAGCTCGGAGCAAAGTGACTGTGACTGATAACCTCTCGGAACCTCAGCTTCCTCATCCGGGAAAGGGAGATAATCAGGGCTCCCCCAGATCCAGATCCGAGGAGGAGGAGGTGGTGGACAGAGGCTTGAACTCACCTGTTCCTCAACCGTGACAGGCTCCTCTCAGGAACAGGCTCCCAGGATCCTCCTCCAGGGCTGTGGGTTAAGGCTCCTTGTAATTAATCCCTCACCATCAGGGCTGGGCTGGGAATCCAAGATCTGGGTGAGGGTGAAGATGGGCAAAGTGGGGGGTCTTGGATCTGGAGGGTGTGAATCACTTGGGGAGGAATTCACAAAAAGAGGGAAGCAAAATGTAGACAGGAGAGAGGCAGCTGGGAGTGGGAGAAGGGAGAGACAGAAGGCCAGGAGGGCAGAGGTGGGTCGGGAGCCCCTCACCTCTTCTCCCCTGTCCCAGCCTGGCTGAGGGGCAGGGGCGGCAGAAAGATGTAAGCAACCGTCAGCCTTGCCTTGCCTTGGTGCAAAGAAAATATTCCCTGAAAGACATTAAAATGAAGTAAATAAAAGTGATAAAAATGGAAATATCAAGGCAGCAACTTCTTCTCTTCTGATTACAAAGCAGGCAGCGGGAGGCGGGTGCGGGCCCTGGCAGACGCAGCTGCAGCAGCCGGGCTGGCCTGATAAGGGCCCGGCCGCCTGCGCCCGAGAGATAAAGCCGGTGCCATGCTGCCTGTCCTCAATCCCGCCCGGCCATCAATATTCACACGGCCCGACCAACTGGCGTTGCAGATAGATTAAATATAGACTGCTGCTGCTGTGACCGAGACCTTATTAATCCGCTTGCCGGCATTTAAATGCTGTGGAGAACAGAGTTTAGAGCGCAGCGTCCAGAGCTCGACACTTCCTCACTTTCTTTCCTTTCCACCCGCCTTGGCCATTGTCTCCATGTCTCTAGCTTCACTTGGAAGTAAAGTTCCCAGATTCAGGTGGAGGTACCAGGATTGGGGGGATGGGGGTCCAGACACCTGACAGGTCACTCCTATCTGGGGAGGGCGCTGAGTGACATCCCAGCTAGGGTCTTTGGGGGCTGAAGTCATCCGGGAAGGAAATGGCTTGACTTTGGCACCAGGGACCCTGCAGACCATGGGCGGGGGCTGGGGCAGCCTCACCCTTCTGAGTCCTTTGTGTGCGGGGTGTGGCCTTTTCCTCCCGAGCTGTCTGCCCGCTGACAGCGACAAAGGCTGAACAAACAACCACACAAACAAATTACAATGACGGGAAAGGGAAAGTAAGGAACGTGGCCAGGGTAGAGTGTGGGCTGTGGAGACAAAGATGCCCCACTCTGCTCGGATCCCTCCGTGGCTCCCACCTCCCTTAGCGAGAAGCCCAAGCCCCCCACCCCACCTCAAGGCCTGGCCTCCTCTCTTAGCCTCTAGTGCAGGGATGGGCAAACTTTTTGACTCGAGGGCCACAATGGGTTCTTAAACTGGACCGGAGGGCCGGAACAAAAGCATGGATGGAGTGTTTGTGTGAACTAATATAAATTCAAAGTAAACATCATTACATAAAAGGGTATGGTCTTTTTTTTTTTTTTTTAGTTTTATTCATTTCAAACGGGCCGGATCCGGCCCGCAGGCCTTAGTTTGCCCATGGCTGCTCTAGTGAATTTGTGTTTTTGGTTGTGTGTTTTTTTTCATTTTTTTCTTTTAATCTTTATTGTTGAAAGTATTACATAGGTCCTCCTTTTCCTCCCCCATTAACCTCTTCCAGCCCGCTCCCGTCCTTCCCCGCCCCCAGGTCCTCACCACCCCATTGACTGTGTCCTCGGGTCTGCATATATGCAGACTGCACTGTTTTCTAATGCCAGGCACAATCTGCACAGGCCCTTTGCACAAGCTACATTGCCTCTTAGGAGCCTTCCTCCAGATGTCTACTCAGCTCCTTCCCTCACCTCCTTCAAGTCTCTGCTCAAATGCCATCTCTTCAGAGAGGCCGGGCTTGGCAAATAGCAAGAGGAAGGAAAGCACCTGTAGGTAGAGGAACTACCTTGTGCAGAGGCCCTGAGGTGTCTAATGTGGTGGCTGGAGAGAGAGAGAGAGAGAGAGGAAGAGAGAGAGAGGCAGACAGAAGTGCCAAGCAAACCAGGCCTCAGGCCATGAAAGACTCTGGTGGTTTTCCCAATAGGAGCACATCTGGTCCTCCCAGCATAGGGCACACAGCACTCCACACTGTGCACACGGCACCCCGACATACCGACTGCACCCCAGAACACAGCACCCTGACATACCGACTGTGCCCCAGCACACAGCGCCCTGACATACCAACTGTGCCCCAGAACACAGCACCCTGACATACCTACTCTGCCCCAGCACACAGCACCCTGACATACCGACTGT